GTGGTTAAGGGGGCGGACTTAAGATCCCCTGGTCGTAAAGACCGCGTGGGTTCGAACCCCACTCCGTGCATTGCTTTATTTCTTCTCCTATTGTGCATTATTTATGTTTTGAGAAATGTTTTGGCGATTACTACAAAGTAATGAAGCTATTTTGCCTCTTGAACTAGAATCCCCTGCCTACGGACCTTGACGGAGGTGACTTGCTGCTCCGGTGACCTGGTATCGTACGCCCACTCCAACCAACTCATCAACCAAGATAAATTTCCTTGAATTTTGGCTACTATTAATTAATTAGTGAAGTACTGAGCTGAGTAAATCGACGTTCAAGTGGAATATGCTCCTTCGTCTGCGGCTACCGCCTGGCACACCTTTGAAAGGTAACGGCGTGTTGCCGAATACGTTCTGTTCGTTTCCAGCCTTCACTTGTAAAAGTGAATTGGCCAGCTTCAAATTACCAACTGAATCCTAATGAGAGTTGCGAAGAACTGCACTAGGTACAGAACTGAACCACCATTGGACACTACCCTAAGAACAATCTGCCAGGTCTTCCGCTTCTCTGAACTACTGTTCATGTCTTGGGTCTAAATAAGCTCATGAGAGTGGGTTTGCATCCAAACTGAATCATGATATTGGGTTTGCTTCCAAAAAAGCTTATGATATGTATCTACATGTACTACGAGTTAGCCTTCGGCCAACCCGTTGAACGCGCTCGTTGCAGTTCAAGCCTGTTTCTAAGTAGTGTTCGCTGGTAGCCTTGCAGGCTCACTGCAACTTCTCCTCTGGTTTGTTATAGTATACTGCTATTTTATTCGCCTAAATTCACGATGTGATGGCCATTCATCAATGCGGTACCCATCATTTCGAGATTGAACCATAGTTAACGTGAAATACTTGATATCTACCTCATGCTCTCAACAACAGAAGAGTCTATGAGGTTCCAAATGCATCGCATCCTGCTAACAGCAACACTCAAGAAACCTTTGCTGCTGCTGCTGCTGCCACTGCAACGGAAAAGCCAGCAACTCAAGCCGCGGTCGTGCTGGCTCAGCTCTGTACTGCGAGCTTGATGAGGTGTTCCATGAAGACCTTCAGACTAACATCATCTGTGTTGATGAAGGCCTCCCCCCCCTCCGTGAGGCCAAGGGGCTGAGCTGCTCCCGAATTAATATACGAAGTTGAGGGGTTGACTTTCGCCAACAAAAAGCGCGCTTGCGAGCCGCCGCTGTTGCACTGTACGTACTTTGGCGCGGGGAAACGGTCCCCCAACACGACACTTGCATCATCCACCGGTGCCTGCGTACACAAACACAATACAGGTTAGGATTGGTGACCCCAGAGCCGCAAGCCACTCCCACCAGCATACTAAAGAACAATCAAAACAGTCCGTCGAAGGCTTCCGCTTTTGGCGGGCGTGGTGTACGCGCAGCAGCTAGCAGGGTTTAAGAATAGGGTTCTTCAGTGTACCTGCAGAAGCTGCCGCAAGTTCTCATATTCCGGCAAGTTGTGATAGCCTTGTTCACGCCACTGATGAATTAACTCGCCGTGCCAAACAACGACGTGGAAAAATGAATCCAACAACAATATTACATCCGGCTGCAGCACAAACCCAAAACCGCAAACCCTAAACCCTAAACAAGTCGGCAGGCACCCTATATCGGATTGCATGCAACACAAAAACGAGCCTCCATACTTAAATTCTAGGCCCTGAACTCTATATTCTCCTTCGGAGACAAACCAACAACAAACAACCCCTACATCCTAGTAAACCCTCAATGCTGTCAAAGGGTGACGCTAGAATGAAGCAGCAATAGAGTAACACAAAGATGCGAGTTTAGGATGCTCTTTTCCTTTTTTAAAGAGCAAGTCTTCCAGGCAACAGGAAGACACCGTGTACACGACACTGCATAAGCAGCAAACTCCAGAGAAACAAACAAAAGACCAGGTTGCGTGGTGAATACAGCAGCAAGCACTCATCGCTGAGCAAGCTAGAAAGAAACTGTAACCAAAAGAGTGAACATATCAAATAGCGGGGGGCGGAGAAGCAAACACATCAAATTCCTACCTTGAGCGCCTGGGCATCTAGCAGCACAGGCTGTGGAGGTCCTTGCTGGTTTAGTGAATACGAAAGCAAGGCCGGCTGAATCATCACCAGAGCATTCATAACACTTGCTCGCAGCAAGACAGACCTAAGGCAAACGCACAAAAGCAGCGGCGCCAGTGCAGATGAGGAAACACTTTATGGTTTAGGGTTTAGGGTTTAGGGTTTAGGTTTAGGGTTTAGGGTTCAGAGCAAACAAATGCATTCCTGCTCGTTTGTAGGGAATAACCCTACACACTGTGGCTATGCGAGCAGGCAAAGATGGCAAACAAGTACGCAAGAACAGCAATTATTAACAAGAAACGAGGATTTACAGTGGCTGTTAGTTCAGTGAATACGAGCGAGAGTGAGGCGTCCAGCCCTTCAGATGACTGCTGCAGTTACTCCGAGTGAAATAAATTCAAGTCAAACAAGAACAGTGCAAGCGTAAAACACAAAAAATAATGTGCAAGTTGAAGCAACAGCCAGACACAACCACAAACTAAAACAAAAAACTATAGACAAGCTAACGCTCGCATCTACGCTCAAAAAGCGGGGGAGTGAACGCACATGTAACTGTTTGCATATTTCAGCATCACTAATTATTTTGGATTGCGCGTTCACAAATACAACCAAACATCTAATACACAAATTCTCTATTTAACGCAAACAAACACAAAAGTTGCAACAAATCAAAAGGGTCCTCTCACATGCACTCCTGTATGAAGATGCCCACTACACTTAGCACAGTCATTGTTTTGACAGGTAAGTACCAGTGAGCAAGTGGATCACGTGTACGAGCAAAACCAAAGAAAGAAGATACCTGTAGTAAGCAGTTTCATCGGGGCTTGCGTTGAACGTTTGCAAGAAATGACTGCGTCTGAGATGGTACATAAATTGTGGGTATATGGCGAATTCCGTAGAAAGATGAAATGAGTTGGGGTCATCCTTTTGGTAGTCTGCATTTGTTTGAAATCAAGCAGAAAAAGCAAACAAAAGGAATTTCCAAACATAGAACAGTGCTTACACAGACCATATACGCACAGGAACCGTCCAGATGGAACTGCAATAGCTTTACACTTTAACACAGAGGCAAAGAAAAAAAGGAACCCGGGAAAACCACGGTAGTCACAAATAGCATTCATAGCACTGAAAGCAACAAGACTCAGGAGACGACGCAATTCATCGGGGAAGAGAGAATTAGCTAAAAGTAGAGCGTACACGACACAAAAGAGAACATACTGAACCACCAAACCTCCTCAATACAAAAGCAAATGAAACACAGAAGGAATGAAACGACACCAATAAAATATCCACACAGCTCTTCACCTGCAAAACGCGAAACCAGCCGAATAAGCTTTCTGTCTAGCCATCTGAGAACATCGAGAGAATCTTCCGTCTCCGTCTTGAAGACTGCGAGGCGTGCCATGAGTACTGCAGCCGCTTCCTGGTCAAAACCTAAACGGCAAAAAAACTGCAGTGGAAATAGATTCTATTAGGTTTTCTTTTGAAATGCAGTTTGTACGATGCATACAGTATATGCAATACACATAAACAAATACTAATACAAAAGAAAAAAACGCCCCGCATCTGCACGGTTAACCAATTGCCCTTCGGGGCAAACCCTAGGCGGCCAGCCCTATACACCAAAAGACGATTCAGGTATTTGCTATTACAAATACACTGCCGAGAAAAGTAACGCAGTTAGAAAACAAAGTAATATACACAAACCAACTGCTACGAACAAATGCGCCTTGAAGAACTATCCTAGTTGGCAGCGCAGCGTGGTGACATTGTTAAGCAACACAAAACATCTGTGCTTAGATAATGCGTTGCGTCTATAGTTCCCTCCTATTACTACTTGCCCTGCATACAGCTGTGCTTCAGTTTTGCTGGTCTAAGGTGAATAAACGGAAGCCAGTCAATGTAAACATGTAAAACCCGAGCAATATGACGTAAGAGTGGAACATTCACTGATATACACCCTAGCTTAACAAAACTTGATAAGGCAAATGACTCGAGCGTGGATACATGTTAATTCATCCTCACACCGAAACACCAGTGTAGCAGAGCTTGATAGTCAAGCCCAGCCACACCAGCAATGCACCCAGGAGATTCACTCGAAGAAAACCGAAGTAACCAGAGGGAATATTTGAGGTGAGCATACAGCTGGAGCAGTCAGACAAAGTTACAAGATAAGTTACCGCAGTAGAGTTAGGTGAATGTGCGCCATATTCGAAAGAAAACAACTAACCTGGGGCTATATCCAGAGGGCTCTGATCTGCAAATCTGTAAGAAAGCGTCGTAACTCTCAAGCGGCGTCTACCGCTGGGGTGTAAGTATGAAGTTTGAAATTGGAGGAAAGATTGTTTTCCTGAATAAGCCAATGCGCAAAGCAACGAATAGCCAAACATCAAACGCCGCCAACACAGGCAGCCTGGGCATCGGAGGTAAGGGATAATACAGGGGCCCAACTGCAGCAAGCGGTAATGTGCAGCAGAGAACTATGCTAGACAATCAAATCGTAAATGAGCACAAATGCCATTAAAACCAAAGAGGAATCTGGACCGAACACTCGAGAGCACGCTGATCAATATCTGCTTTCTACCGACGTTGAGCTTATGTATATATATATATATATATATATATATATATATATATATATATATAGGTATGTATATGCTCTCTGGCTCTTCTGAGTCTGTGTAGTTTTCAGTTAAACAATCACCTGGAGGCAAATTTGAAACGTGTTGGTTTGTAACTTCGAAGTAAAATGCAATTGTTGTTTCCTTATCCATTGCAGCAGCCTGCCATTCACATGACCCGCCTTCACCGACGGTCAAGTCTGAAACTTGAGCCCCTTTCTTTCCAGTACCTGAAAAAGAGCAACAAAGAGAATTAACTAAAAATATATCAACAAATGCATTAACAGCAGAGAGGAATTGTATGCGGAAATTCACTGACAGCTGAATATGTAGAACAATGGCCCAATGGACAGGTTGCCAATGGGATTGACGAGGGAACTAAGCGGAGAAAGTAAAGAGGCAAGTAAAGATATTAACACCGCAGCAAATAGACAAATAAAGCATATATAAACTGTAGAGCTGCATAAGCCATTCCACAACTGCAGCCGAGCTGACTAGCCCAAAGGCAATAAGAAGAGAGGCAACCATGATATAGAACCAACCAAAATGAACGCGCATTTGATGTAGGGCTAACTTTTTTTAAGCGTGAAATGCAAATAAGGAGATACCACATGTATTCAGAGAAAGTAAACCAAAGGAAGTAAAAAGAAGGAGAAAATAGCCACCTGACGTTAATAATATTAGATCGCGCAACTTACTTGTGCATGGGCCTATAGCCCCACACACTTTGAACTCTTTGCTGCACAGAACTTCCATCTTCGCATTGAAACCCATCTTCAGAAACCCTGCATAGGCATCATAAACCCTAACTCTCATACCCTAAACTTGAATCCCTACAGAGTAGAAAGAGTAAAACTACATACCCTATACTTCATACAGACTAGAAATAATAAAACTACAGTCTGTTAACACACAACCAGAAGGCCAACGACGACAGAGCAGAAGAAGTAGAAGCAATACTTTGAAGCCAATGTTTTGATAAGACGAAGGGAAAGAAGACAAAAGTAAAGGAGACACAGGAACTCAACAGCAAAAAAACAACACTTGGATATATATATTAATATATAACACTTGGCTTTCGTGTTGCGCTAACAGCTGGCAACAGCAGCTGTTGGGTTACCTGTGGAATCGGTTTCCAAGAACTTTTTGAGGCTGTCTTTGTAGACATTCAGCGAAAACGAATCGCTCATTACGACACAACCCCCCGTTTTTTCCGGCATTACTTTCATTTCGTAAAGCCCCACCTGTTCACAGCAACTGACAAATACAAATAAACAAATAAACGCAACAACCAAAGAGGGCATCCCTCCCTCCGTCGCTTGATCAAACAAACACACGGTTATGCAACGCGCCTACCACGGGCATGTGAACCAGATATAACACGAAAAACAGCAAGCAGAATGCTTATGAAAAGAGTTAGAGACGACGATCCGGTCGTGAAGCACCCTCACCTGGTCCAGTGAACAAGCAAAGATATCAACAGCGCAGCCAGCCCGAACAGCTCTATTTGCTAGAGATGTGTAAAACTTGAGCGCCTTCTGTACAAATCGTGCATTTTGGTTGTCCTTTTGCAAGTCCAAGTGGTGACGGATGGACTCTGCCAAGGGCAGGTCAACGATCTGTGCATACACCCAAACAGGCACGAAACAGGTAGATGAGTAAATCAGGGAGAGAAAAAAAACATTTAGAAAATGACCGAAAGGGGATTGAGCAAAGAAGATAACGCACAAGCACTACCAGAGACAGACGACTGAGCAAGAACAACTGCAAGAAAGTACACCACGGCAGGCCGGCGAAAATCACGAAGACATGAAAATAAAGCGAGCAAACATGCCAAGAATCACAAATACGGACCACCTTCGCCTGCTGAGGATACACGTCCAGCACATGGAACGCAGGAAACATATAAACGGAAAGCAAGATGACATATAACAGCGAACAAACCAATGGGGCAGCCAGAAGATCCGTGAAAACGCCCCAGTACACCACGAGTAGTAAAAGCAAGCAACATTAAAATCTAGCACGCTGGCCAGGAATAAAGCAAACAAACCAACAGAAAAGCAACGACACAGCAAACTACAACAACTGCAACATCTCAAGCTAAGAATACCTGTCCAGGCCCCGTCGTGCAGACACCCCCAGTGAACAAGAGGATGCGGCAGGGCAGCTGAAGCCAACAACTCTCCACCAACGCAACCGCAACGGACAACGCCAGGCCCGTGCAGCGCTTTGGCCTGATTGCAGAAAAAGACAAAAAAAGGAGATGCGGATGCAGCGTCCCGCAGCAACCGTGGCCCCAAAAAAGCAAAAGAAAGAGTCATACCAGATTCACCAAACATAGCAAAAAAAACCCAAGAGGAACACCAAACGCACGGAAAGGATATCCATCAAAAAAAAAACACTGACGTCTACACACGCATCTATAACAGGCTGAAGTAGTACAACATGGGTATGTGCACGTTTCTGCAGATGCATATATAATAAACCTTTCGGTTAAAAGCTCAAATTGCACATATCACACGGGTTTGCATCTCTCTAGAACTCTACAGAGTAACATTAAGCTGTCGTTTCTCTACTTGCTGCTCTCAGCTGAAGTAAAGGTACACGGGAAAACTGCCACAGGAACAAAACCCTCAACCCTTATTCCGCTAAGCACGATGAATCCATGAGCCCCGTCAGTCGCACTACTCTGTGAGCGTAACTGAACTCTTTGAAACCCACTACAACTATCGAAACCTTGCGAGCGCCGCCATAGGCCCCCGTGAAGCCTTATTGAGCACTGACAGTGCCAGTGGAGACGTACCGGGAGTCGGCGGGAACAGGCCAGTAGTCCTTGGAGAGATTCTCAAGAATGAAGGAAACTTTCGCTTCACATTCCCCCACAGGCTGAATAAAGCGTGCTGCTGCTGGTGGCACCAAGGGATGCCGCGTCGCTCCGCTCCCCGAACGCGGACCAGCAAAGGAAGAGCCTGGTGAGAGACCAAGCTGCTGTTGAATCTGTATAGCAAGAAGCAGCAGAAAAGAAAGGCAGCAAGCAGCAACAACATGGGGATACAAAATGTCAAAACAACGAACCAGCCCCGACATGTAAACTGCTAGCGGGGAATGAACCCACAAAGCGCTCCAACAAAAGCAACAGTGTTTCCGGGGAGTTTCAGCGGCGCAAGAACACCAGTTTGGCAGCGACGCCAAAGCGCAGCAGCAGCAGCAGTAGCAGCAGTAGCAGCAGCAGCAGCAGTCAGCAGCAGCAGCAGCATTGGCGTACACTAGCAGAGGAGAGTTCTCTGGATCCGTGGAATACGTGCACTTTGTTGTACTCGCTGGGGTCAGCAATTTCATGGAGCATGCACATCGCCCCAAAGGAAATCAAACAAATCATCGCATCAGAGGGCATCAAAGCCA